AGAGAGAATGCGCACTAGAAATGACGAAAGAGAGAGAGAGAGAGAGAGAGAGAGAGAGAGGAAGAGAGAGAGAGAGAGAGAGAGAGAGAGAGAGGAAGAGAGAGAGAGGAAGAGAGAAAGAGAGAGAGAGAAAGCAAAAAATAGAGATAGAAAGAAATGGAGTGAGAGAAAACGTACGCAAAATGTTAACAATAAAACTTCTTTTAACAGTTTTTTCCTAACGGTCCTTGCATGCTTCCCGATTTCACTGCACATACGCAACGCACGCACGCACACACGCACGCACACACACACGCACGCACACACGCACACACGTACACACGCAGGCACGCACGCTCGCACGCACGCACGCACAGGCACTTGGAACGTTTCAATAATAAAATGATCGTATATAAACACGAAATGTATTTACTATCAAAAGTCTTAACGCTGTTTCTTTAGTCTCTTTCGCTTATTATTACTGATAATTTCTTATAAATGCTGTTCAATTGCTCCTCTGCAACACACAGGTACATCGCACGCACGCTGCTGTGCACAAACAACAAATTGAACGGCATTTGTAAACAGTAAATTATCAGTAATAATAAGCGAAAGAAAGTAGAGAAACATTAAGACATAAATCGTAAAAAAAGCTGATTGAGACTTAAACGCTGGTAGTCAATACATTTCGTGTTTACATACCATCGTTCTATCACTGAAACGTTCCAAGTGCCCGTGCACGCACGTACGCACTCACGCACACACGCGCACGCACGCGCGGCCACCGACTAACCTAGCAATTTTTTTCTGACTGAAATTACAAGATCATGTCACTGATTGCGATCAAAAGTGGAGCTCTGACTTGCAACACAGCCCTCACCTGTATTCGAGCTGCGGGCCCCCGTAATCCTGCAAGTACGCTCGGAGAACACACGCGGCCACTCTAGCGGCCACTAGAACGTGTGTAAAGAGTTAAATTCGAACTTTTTTTTCTCGAGTCATCTCCCCCGACCTGTATCACTAGGCACTGCTGCCACCATTATTGGAGCGAGAGAGAGGCAGAGTGAGAGAGAGAGAGAGAAAGTGAGTGAGTGAATGAGTGAGTGAGTCAGTGTGAGAGAAAGCAAGAGAGAAAGAGAGAGAGAGAGAGAGAGAGAAAGAGAGAGAAATGGAAACGAATATGAGAGATGGATTAAAAGATCAAGAAAATATGAAAGATAAAAACAAAAAGACGGAGCGAGAGAGAAGAGAAACGAGATGAGAAAGGGAGAGAGAAAAGGGAGAGAGAGAGAGAAGAATGAGAGAGCAGAGAGATGTAGAGAAGAGAAAAGAAAAAAGACGAGAAAGGGTGAGAGAAACAAAGAGAAAGAAAGAGAAAGAGATGAGAGAGGCGAGAGAGAGAGAGAGAGAGAGAGAGCAGAGAGAGAAGGGCAGGTGTGCTACAGAAGAGCAGAACAAGCCCCCAGAAATGAAGACATTTCTTTGTATCGGGCCGTGAGTAATTGACAAGTAATCGACGGTAAATGTTAACTCCCTTAAGATAGGCTTTGACAAGCTTAAATCTTTCCGGGGGGAATAGGGTAGGTACGGCGGGCGGCCAGCCGGGGTGTGTCGTCAGCTCGTGTGGTTCTCCGATTCTTAAAAAGGCAGCTTTGTTGCGCCATAACACCACCGGCTCTAGTTCACATGTGTGTGTGTGTATGGGGGGTATATATGTGTGTGTGTGTGTGTGTGTGTGTGTGTGTGTGTGGGGTGTGTGTTGTGTGTGTTGTGTGTGTGTGTGTGTGTGTGTGGTGTTGTGTGCGTGTTGTGTGTGTATGTATGTATGTGTTTGTGTGTTGTGTGTGTGTGTGTGTGTGTGTGTGTGTCTCGGCCGTGTGTTGTGGCGATGTGTGTATGTGTGTGTGTGTGTGTGTGTCGTGTGTGTGTGTGGTGTGTGTGTGGTGTGTGTGTGTGTTATGTGTGATTGTGTGTGGTGTGTTCTCCCTCCTCTGTTCGTCTGTCTCTCGCCGCTCTCCTCTGTTTCTTTCTGCTCACCCTTTAATTCTCTCTCCCCTCCCCTACTCTTTCTCTCTCTCTCCTCTCTCTCTCTCTTCTCTCTCTCATCTCTCTCTTTTCCTTTTCTCTCTTCTCTCTGTTATGTCTCTATCT